GAGAGCCTGCTTCTCCCCTTCCCATTGCCTGCCACCTCCCCTGCTTGTGCTCTTGATATCTGTGTCAAATAAATAAATAAAACCTTAAAAAAAAAAAACACACACGGGGCACCTGGGTGGCTCAGTGGGTTAAAGCCTCTGCCTTTGCCTCAGGTCATGATCCCAGGATCCTGGGATCGAGCCCCGCATTGGGCTCTCTGCTCAGCAGGGAGCCTGCTTCCTTCTCTCTCTCTGCCTGCTTCTCTGACTACTTGTGATCTCTGTCTGTCAAATAAATAAATAAAATCTTTAAAAAAACAAAATAAAACATACACACACACACACACACACACACACACACACACACACACAATGAGCTAACACTTCCCATCTAGGATGGCTATAATCAAAAGGACATACAATAACAAATGTTACTGTTACATTGTTACTGTTTTTAAGGTGTGGAGAAATTGGAATCTTTATTCATTATTGCTGAGAATGTATAATGGTGCAGTCACTGTGGTGGAAATCAGTGTGGCAGTTTCTAAAAATGTTAAACATCGAGTTAGCATATGACCCAACAATTCTGCTCCTAGGTATGAAAACATATGTTCACACAAAAACTTGTACATGAACATTTATAGCAGCACTATTTTAATAACCAAGAGACAGAAACAATCCAAATACCTATCAATTGATGAACTGATAAAGTGTGGTTTATCCATACAATGTATCTCAGCCATACAATGTATCTCAGCCATAAAGAGAAATGAAGTGCATGTATATGCTACAACATGGATAAATGTGGAAAACATGATGCTCAGTGAGAGAAGCTGGTCACAAAAGATCTATTTTATGATCCTAATCATAGGAAGTGTCTAGAATAGGCAAATCTAGAGAGACAGAAAATAGATTAATGGTTGCATATGGCTGGGGAGGTAGGAATGAGGGGTTGGTGAGGAATGATTGCTAATGAGTACAATGTGCTCTTTTGGAGGTGATAAAAAAAATTCTAAAATTAGATTACGGTAACTGCATAACCCTGCAAATATAGTAAAAGCCATTGATTTATATACTACAAATGGGCAAACTGTGGTATGCAAATTATATCTTGATTAGGCTCTTACTTTTTTTAAAATGTCATGTTCTGTTTAGTAATAAGGATTTTTATATCAGATATAAGAACATCATAGTTACCTTAACTCTTTGCCAGGATTTTGGTGGTAAATTTTTATATACAGTAAATATCACCAAAGGCAATCCTGAAACAATCATCACTGCTAAAAAGAGGCTCCTTGTGTGTTCTTCTGTTGTTGGTAGTGGAGTTAATTTTTAGTCTCTGGTTGGTCTCTTTGCATTCAGCATGCCTTAGTTTGTTGTTGGCTGCTTCCCAAAATGACCACCTTTTTACTGTCCTCCCCATTAAAAATAAGAAGAGATCACATAATTATTTCTTCAATATGTTCATTTTACACATTGGAATGAAAGTAAAGATCTATCGCATTAGATTAGAGCTATTTATATAGTACTTCATTACTTCTTAGTGATCTAGGCAAGCCATGTCTGAGAACACAAATGGGGTCCCACAGGAAAAGCCAAGAGGTCCCTTCGCTTCATGCAGGATAGAAATCAAACACAAGCAAGGAAGATGTGAGAGCAGAGTTTAATGAATAGTGTAAGTGATAACATATAGCATAGCAGATGGAGTGCCCGGGAGGCTCAGGAAAGGAGAAGTGAATTTCTCCATTGCTTGAGATTAGGATTTATACTGGAAAGGGTTCCAAGGTATGGGTTCCTTTGAAAATCCAGGTTAGTCTCTCTTCTCCAGCACTGCCTGTGGACGTGGTAGCCATCCCTTACTGGGCATTGTGGCTGCCCCCAGACCTCTGGTGAAGGCCAAATTCATTAAATAGAGGACCTAGAAGTTCAGCCAGCAGCAGTCAGACCGATATGTTGAAATTAAGCATAACTGGCAGAAACCCAGAGGCACTGACGATAGAGTGCATAGAAGACTCAAGGGCCAGATCTTGAAACTCAACAGTGACTACAGGAGTAAGAAGAAAACAAAGCACACATCACCCAGTGGCTTCTAGAAGTTCCTAGTCCACAATGTCAAGGAGCTTGATGTGCTGCTGATGTGCAAAAAGTCTTAGTGTGCAAAGATTGCTCAGAATGTCTCCTCCAAGAACTGCAAAGCCATTTGGAAAGAGCAGCCGGGCTGGCTGCCACAGCCACCAATCTCAATGCCAGGTTGTGCAAGGAAAATGAATAGACAGACAGCTTATGTGCACATCATATTTGTGTTAATAAAACAATAAAACCATCAAAAGAAAAAAAAAAGGAATCCACATTAGGGTCTCAACGAAGGTGAGTGTCTGGTGAACAGGTATAATTCCATAAACCACTGAAGGGGCTACTGGCCCCAGTGTCCACTGTGGTTTGTTCTTAAGATGTTCTCAGGTGTGTGGGGACCTAGGACAAAACTCAGAGAATGATCAACTGTCTTGCTTCCCCCCTAGAGTGGGAACATAGCTTCTTTGGTTTACTCAGATGCAAGATGAAATACAGAGTATGAGTAAATGGGGCCTAGCAGAAAAATACCAGGGCTGGAGCTTTCTAATATGGAGTCCCTTCAGTTTCCGTATCTCATTAGAGTTACAAGTTTTAGCAGGAAGTTTGATGTGCAGTGGAAATGCAAACTTCTAGTAGTTTTGTATTTTTATTATGGAACTCATCTAGACTTGTCCATAAGGGCTTTTTCTATTTGTAGTATAGTGAGAAAGAGCTATGTAGGACTAAAAACGAAAGCTCTTTTATGGCAACTTAAAAAAACTTATTATCACCACTTGTTGTACTTAAAGTGTTTCTCCAGAAAAATATTTTGATTCACAATTGATTCTTAATCTTGGGACAGCTTCTTGTTATCAGTGTACTTCATGTGCCTGAAACATCTTCCTTATTAGCCACGATCACCCACATCATCCTAGGAAGTGCAAGGTAGTTCAAATTTAACCTGAACAGAACATAATTTGGAATCTGCCATTAAAAATATATATTATGCATTTTTTAAATAGAAACTCCTTGGTTTTTTTTTTTTTTAAGATTTTATTTATTTATTTGACCGACAGAGATCACAAGTAGGCAGAGAGGTAGGCAGAGAGAGAAAGAGGAGGAAGCAGGCTCCCCGCTGAGCAGGGAGCCTGATGTGGGGCTCCATTGCAGGACCCTGGGATCATGACCTGAGTCGAAGGCTGAGGCTTTAACTCACTGAGCCACCCAGGCGCCCCATATTACGCATTTTTTAAGAAAAAATCACTTACATGCTTTTTAGGTTTATGGGTACATGCACTTACCAATGTAACATATTTTAAAAGATTACATTGTTTTTGCCCTGCACACTCAAGTCTCTGTTCCTGTCATTTTCATTCAGTCCACATTTTTCCCCCCTTCCAAGAATACAGGAATCTTTACAGAAATAATTTGCTTCCCTTTAAATCCATATCAGGAGTAGGAGAAAGACACCAAAGGCAAGTTCTATGCCACCAACAGCCATTAAACATGCACAAACTTTTTAACAGGTGCCAAAACTCACTAGGAAGAAGCAAAAAGTAGAATGAAGGCTTTTGAGCAGTTTTTAAAAATTACTCTGTTTAAGAATACTACCTTGTAAGCCAATTTTAACATTATCCAGAACACAACATTTACATACTTTGAGAAATGTTCTTATCACAGCTTCGGAGATAACTACTACAAGCAATTTACAATTCCGTATCTGAAGCCTTTTTGGCCTTGTACTTCTCAGAATTCAGAACTTTTATTAGACAGGTGTGCGGTCATATATTATGCAATACTTCCAGCATGGGTTCCAGCTGCACTGTAATTAAACACGTTAATTGTTCCATAGAAAACTTAATGACTATTCACACTAAGTGAATATCCACTTATACATGGCTTCAATTCCGTTCAGGTCAGATTTAACTAGAAGGGATTTAGGAAAGACAGATAAATGACTGTTTTGACATGTTTAATGCAATGACATGTTTATCTGAAATCCGGTTCTTTATCATTGATATCTGGTTCAGAGCCAGTGCAAACTCTTGGTCTTTTCTTCCCCCAAAGAGGAACAATGTATTTAAAACGAAAACTGAAACAGTATCTTTTGTTTCAAAAGTTAAATGTATAATGGACTAGCCTGTGAAACTAAGTTAATTACATCATGATCCTCTTGAACTTGTCGAGCTCCACTTTGGTTAAAAACTCCCATTTTGGGGGCACAATAGGAAAAGACATCAGATCAGGCCCAAGCTTGTACTGTGAGCATCCCTTGGGGCTTCACGGACCTTGGACCAGGAAGAAGGGCAGAAGGGTAGGGAAGGTAGGGATGCCGCGGAGTGTTCCGGCCATTATCTACGTTGGGCTAACTTCAGTCTCAGTTGGATAAAGGGAAAGAAAGTAGAGATCTCTGCGGTCACTGCTCTCTTGCCAGAGAACAGGATTCCTTTCAGAGGCACTGGTATAATTTCTTGCTTGCCGGTTGCAAAAAGAGTCTCACTGGTAAGGAGGAGGAGCGGCTGGTAAGCCGGAGCTGGGGCTAGAAGAGGAAGGGCAACAGGGCGCCGAGTCTTGCGCAAAGTGGGTGAAAACGAGTCTAAGCCACTATTCCTGAATCGGTCCCAGATGATTAAGGGTACCTGCGTGGATGGAGCACTACCGGAGCCGAGCCTCCTGACCCGACGCTGTGCTCCACCTACACCAAGTGGTTAGCTGCTATGCCGCAGGGTTTGGGCTGTTATTCCCACGTCGGGGCAAGCCTGGGACAGACCTCTATGAGGAACACACCCGCGAGAAGCCGGGCTGGGTCTTGCCCGAGCGCAGGCCCGGCTCGTCCCCGGCTTCAAGCACGGGGCGGGACCCTCGCGGCTTTCCATCCAATCCTCGTTCCCCGGTGACCGCGGGGCTGAACCCTCGCGGCTTTCCGCCGAATTTCCTCTCAGCGGCAGCGGAAGAGCGGGCAGTGGCTGCTGTGAGCCGCGGCGTAGAAGGCGAAGCGCCAGCGGTGAGATCTCCAGGCTCAACGGGACAACGCTCTCTCCCTCCCTCAGCCCCTGGGATCGTGAGGGAGAGTTAGGTTGCTTCGAAGAGAGCTGAATAAAAGTAGAACGGCGGAAGTGCCGGGACTCAGCGGGAGCGTCGTGCTGGCAGGCATCTATCTTGCTTTTGGGGGTCGGAAACTTAGCCCTGAGGTTGGGTCGCGGGGCTGTCCACAGTGCTGCTTACTCGCTTTCTCTCACTTGGCCTCTGAGTGTGCAGAGATGCACTTGGTGGGGTGGGAGGAGGCTGAGATCTCGTCGCACTCTGCGCCCTCTGTTTTCCTCCAGTCGAGCTTTGAACTCCTTCCCCTGAGACCGGGCACCGGGAGGCACTTTGCGTAATGAGAGAGAGCGTGATTGTCGGAAACCTGGTGAATCCTGTAGTCCTTGTGAGCCAGCGTTTAGCCGATGAACTTTTTTGCGTGTTTGCTCTGATTCCCAACAGTTTAAGTCTTGGGGCTTCCCAGTTTCCGGAATTTTTGCCTTCCACGTTCTTTCACCAGTTTTTGCTAAAAATATCCCCCTAATATAAAAATATTTTTTCCTTCCCACAGTCACCAGCCTAGTTCGTTTAACCCCTGTATTCTCGACACAAGATCGGTGCAGCAGGCTCCTGGCAGTCCTAAGCAATTAATTCATCTTAGTGTACCGGTATGTGACACTCTTTGTTTACCTTCCTGATTCTGTTTACCATTTTATTTACATGGTTTACATTTTATTGCTCCAGGAAGCCTACTGTAAATTAATTCCAGTGACATCATTTTCTTAAGGCGTTTGTAGGTTCTTTTGGAATTATTTAATCTTCGTGGTAGAGAATTCAGAATAATCCTTCCTGAAAAAAAATTTGGTAGTTTATATTTTCAGTGTACCTTTTGGTGAGTTAAGACTAGTATGGGATTGGTAGTCTCGGTATGAGTTTTCTAGGGTCTACTTAGTAGGGAGGTAAACAAGGAATAGGGTATCTTTTCTGTATATGTGTGATTCTTACTGCTGACAACAATTTATCACATACTTAACAGTTCAAACTATCACAAATTGGTTATCTCACAGTTTCTATAGATTGGAGGTCCAGGTAGGTTTAGCTGGATATTCCGCAAAGGATATCACAAAGCTGAAATAAAGTTTTCTGTAGTTCTTGGCCCTTGACTGGAGACTCTGGGAAAGAAGCCAGCTCTAGGTTAATTAAGGTTGTTGGCAGGATTCATTTTCATGCAGTTTTACAGCTGAGGTTCCCATTTCCTCACTGGGTTCCAGCTGGGGGCTTTTTCAGTTCCATAAGACCACCTGTATCTTGATAGCCAGAGAGTACCTTCAGTCCTTTTCATGCTTTTAATCTCCCTCACTCATCTACAGCCAGCTGCTGGAGAAAGCATTCTGCTCCTGAGGGCTCCAGTGATTAGACCCACCTGGATAATCTATTTAAGGTTAACTGTGCTGTGTAAGACTACATGATCACAAACATGGAAGTGATGATCTCCCTAAATTCACAGGTTCTGGGGAGTATAAGGGTGGAATCGTGGGAGCCATTCCTAGAAATTTTGCCTAGCATAGTTTGGTTGTCTCAACTAGATTATGCTATTTAAAAAAATTTTTTTTTGTAGGCATTTAAAAATAATCCTAATAACATCTTTTTCTTATTATGATTATCCTCTTTACAGATAAGGAAATTCAGTTAAAGTTAGTTGCCCAGGGGCTCATGGCTAGAGAGCAGGGAGTTGGTATCTACCTATATTTCCATTTGGTCTAAAATTTATATTTATGCGTGGTCAAAATAAAGTGCAGCCAAAGTCACTATATGGGAAGAAGCTGAGGAATTATGAGATCTTTGTTGTACCTTATTTTTGGATTATATCTTTTTTTTTTAAAGATTTTTATTTATTTGACAGAGAGAGATATCACAAGTAGGCAGAGAGGCAGACAGAGAGAGGGGGAAGCAGGCTCCCACTGAGCAGAGAGCCCGACGTGGGGCTTGATCCCAGGACTCTAAGATCATGACCTGAGCCAAAGGCAGAGGCTTAAGCCACTGAGCCACCCAGGTGCCCCGGATTATATCTTTCTTTTAGTGATGTAGGTTACACTCTTTTACCCTAACAAAGAAAGCCCAAAATACAATGACATGAATAAAAGTGTTTTCTCATACATCTATTGGGAGGAGTCTAGGGCTAGTAGGAAGATTCTGACAGCCTCAATACATGGCTTCCATAAACAGTTGCATGGTGCTGCTTTGGTTGGTCCTACTTGTTAGGCAGTGAGGAGAGAAAGCACAGGGAGAGTAAGTGTAGTTAGTCCTTAATAGGGGCATGACCTGGAGGAGACGCATTACAAAGTAAAGTCAAACTGAGCTCCAAGGCATGGTAGGAATGAAAGCTCTGTGGCTTTATACCATTTTAGAACTCAGGATTCTGTTAAGACAAAAAGGGGAAAATTTATATCGACTGATAACAGTCTGTCACACCCTTGCTTTTGATGACGTTTTATTCCGTAACCTTCTCTGAGTGGAATATTTTGTATGGCTTTGCTATTGTAATTTAAAAAGTGGCATTTGAAAGGCAGGTAATTCCTGTTAAAGATCCTTGATTTCTCAATTGCTATTATAGAACTTATTTTTTAAAGGCTTCTTTGAGAAATCTCATTTTCCATTTAACATTTGTATACATTCACATTTTGGGTTAGTTTGAGTTCTTTGAGGAAAATTAATAAATTTGTGATAAATGTTTAAGATTGCTTTGGGATACTTGAAGCTGTTTGTGTAGACCTCAAACCATCTGCATAAGTAGGCTACAGGAACTTGTCATGATTTATGTATTCTGTGATATTCTACAGCTGGTTGAGTCTTATACTGCTCTTCATACGTTAGAGACTTCTTTCCACTCATCATACTTTGCTACACATCTGAATTCTACCTACCCATTTAGACCTACAGGGAGTTTGCTCACAATCTCAGTTAGCTTTAATGTAGGGCAAAGATTTTAATGAAAGAGATGTGGGTTTTGGTTTCTTTGTACATAAAATGGAGGGGAATGCCAAAAGGCAGAGATACTAGGAAGATTAGATATTTATCTTCTATCACACCTGATTTACTACTTGGCAACTAGTGGGTGCTCAATAAATCAAAATTATACTAGTTCTACTGATGACTCCTTGAATTCCAGCAATTGGAGTCTGTACTTTTTTTTTTTTCCCAATTGATTTTCTCTGACAAGTTTATGAATTCCTTAAGGACTAGGACCAAATTCTGGATATACTGTGATCCCTAAATAATGATTTAGTGAACTTTACTAGCATATATAAGAGTATTTATGAGATTTAAACTATCAGGGCTTTTTTTCCTTTAGTTTTCCTGTTTTGATTGCATCATGGAAAATCAGTTGGCTAAATCAACTGAAGAGCGAACTTTTCAATACCAGGATTCTCTTCCGTCTCTGCCTGTTCCTTCCCTTGAAGAATCATTAAAAAAATACCTTGAAGCAGGTATATTTGTGATCTTCTAGTAAATATTAATATTATTAGCAACTTAGAAAACAAAGTATTAGAAGTTGATGAAGTTCTTACTGTTTTTTCCTTTAGGCTTATGATAATTAAAGTATCCTTAAAATGTCCAGAACTTGGAACACCTGGGTGGCTCAGTCAGTTGAGTGTCCAACTCTTGATTTTAGCTGAGGTCAGGATCTCAGGATCCTGACACTGAGCCCTCTTTTGGGCTCTGAGCTGGGCATGGAGCCTGCTTAAGATTCTCTCTCTGTCCTCCTCCCTCTGCCCCTCCACCTCCACCGCTCTTGTTCACTCTCTCTTAAAAAAACAAACAACAACAAAAAAGGCATTTAAAAATGTCCAGAACTTTGTTGTATCTCTCAAGTTAATTTTTCCTTAGTTTAAAAAGCCAGATACTACTATTAGGTTTATAATAAAAAGTAGTAGGCCTCTGCCTTAAGCTCTACTTCCCACCCAAATTCCACTCTCTCAGTCAAATATTTTTCTTTTTTTTTTGTATTCTTTATCTCCAGATTTAAAGTAAACTTTAAACTTACTTTAAACTTAAAATAAACTTACTATTAAACAAATAGTAGTTAGGTTTTTTTTTTTTTAGTTGTGGATATTATAAATTTGTTCCTAAGAAGATGTGGATTTAGCTCTTTCACACCTTTAACCTTCCCCCTCTTCACACCCAACATATAGGCAATCCAACATATCCACATTTTCCTTTCATTCTTTCAATATAATTGTACAAAATCGCCATTTGGGATTAAATTAGTATTCACCTGCTTTAATTCCAGGTTTCAGCTGGTTTAAATCTGTATGTACCCGAGTTAATTTACCTGACCATCTAGGGTTTCTTACTAGGCAGCTATCCACGAGAGAACTATTCATTTTACTTCGAATGCCTTGTTATGGCATTCTTTGTTTTGTTTTGCTTATTTTTCCTTTGCCTACTTTGCTTTGTATCCATAAGTAATTCACTCTCAAATACTTCAGTATACTGAAAATCCCTGACTACATTATATACTTTATATATATATAACATATAAAAAATGGTATATATATATACATATGATCGGTACAAGTATATAGATATGTACCTGTACATTATATACATGAGCTATTCTCTTGGTTTCATTTCTTGGAGACATCCCTCCTGGGGCCCTCTGCCTTCTTGCTTCAGTTAGTGTTCACTTTCCTTGAGTGGGCTGGACAACTGTTAGCTTGGAGCTTTCCTTCCCCCATCTCTGGCAGTTCTTTTTACCTCTCTCTCCTGTGTTGGATTCCCTGGTTCCTGGCTGTCTTTTTCTTCCTCTTTTTTACTTACTTTTGTGAAGTACATCTTCAGTAGCTACTTGAGACAAAGAGTTTCTGGGAAGGAAAGAATGTAAGACCTTAAATTTTATTCTACCCTCGTACTTGATTTTCTGGCTGAGAATAAAATATTCCGGGTTGGAAATGATTTTTCTTAAGAGTTTTGAAGGTACTGTTTGTTTCTCCTGAGATGTTCCTCCTGAGATGCCATTCTGTTTGGTCCTTTATATGTAACTTGTTTTTTTTTACACTCTGGCTGTATTTGGAAACTTTTTTCTTTATCCCTACCATTCTGAATTTCTTTTTTTTTTTTTTTGTTCTTTAAAGATTTTATTTATTTATTTGACAGACAGAGATCACAAGTAGTCAGAGAGGCAGGCAGAGAGAGAGAGAGGAGGAAGCAGGCTCCCCGCGGAGCAGAGAGCCCCATGCGGGGCTCGATTCCAGGACCCTGGGATCATGACCTGAGCCAAAGGCAGAGGCTTTAACCCACTGAGCCACCCAAGCACCCCCCCCCATTCTGAATTTCTTGATGTCCCTTAGTGTATAGATTTTTTCATTTATTTCTCTGAATATACAGTTGATTCTTTTAAGTTTAAAACATGTTATTCAATTCTAGGAAATTTCAAAATACCTTTTCTTGGATAGTTTTCTCCTCCTTTCTTTGCCCTCTCTTTCTGGAACTCCCATTAATTGGATCTGGGGAGCTCTGGACTAAACTTTTTTTTTTTATGAATTTGTTTATTTATTTGACAGCAGAGATCACAAGTAGGCAGAGAGTCAGGCAGAGAGAGGAGGAAGCAGGCTCCCCGAGGAGCAGAGAGCCCGATGCGGGGCTCGATCCCAGGACCCTGGGATTATGACCTGAGCCGAAGGCAGAGGCTTTAACCCACTGAGCCAACCAGGCGCCCTGGACTAAACTTTTAATTAGAAAATTATTTCCCTTGTTATTTAGTAGCTTTCCCTTTCTGGTTTGTTTAGTGTTGGGTGTCACCAATCCTGTTTTTGCTCATTCTGCTCTTTGATTCTCATTTGAGAGGCTTTTTTCAAATATTTGACAATCACTGGTCATTCATTTTTAAGAGTTAGACCGTAAAAAGCTGATTGAGAGCTCTGTGCATGGGTAGGGGCTTGGTGACTACCGGTGGGCCTTTGAGGAACCTTCTTGCAGAGATCTAGCAGTTCCACTGGAGCATGCCCAGTCATGTCATACTTCTCTTGGACTGATCGTTTCCCCAGAGAAGAATCCTCTTTTGTTTAGAAGGCATGAACCTAATGTCTAGTCTTTTGTGGGCTAACTAGGGGAAGGAGGCTGGAGGGCTTATTTTTTTACTATAATCTCTCTTTTTTCCAGTATGGGTTAGGATCTATTTATACTGTTTGTCTGGTTCAATTTCTCTAGACTTCTAGATTTCTTCTGGTGTTGGTAGGCATTTGCCTGGCTTTCTAGAATGGAGAAAACATCTACAGGTGTGGGTGTGAATGAGATGGTAGTCTGCTGCTTCTGAATATTTTTTTTTTTAAGATTTTATTTATTTGATAGAGAGAGATCACAAGTAGACAGAGAGGCAGGCAGAGAGAGAGAGAGGGAGGGAAGCAGGCTCCCTGCCGAGCAGAGAGCCCGATGCAGGACTCGATCCCAGGACCCCGAGATCACGACCCGAGCCGCAGGCAGCGGCTTAACCCACTGAGCCACCCAGGCGCCCCGCTTCTGAATATTTTTAAGCAACCAGTCATCAGTCTCTGTTTGCCCACTTTGGAAGTCCATTTGCCTTGGACTTGGAAGTCCATTTACCTTTCTGGGATTCCACTGCAGCCATTTGCTTGCTTCCTGGTTTGCACTTAACCCTACCTTGTCTCTTCCTACCTTCTACTCTCCAGGCTTTAGATACTTTCACCATTCTACAAATTCAGTTACCATTTTCTCACCTCTTTTCTAATGCGTGAAATCTTAATTTAACTGGTCTGCTGCCCTTTCCTTTCAGATTCTTTGTCCTTATAGATTTATACCTTTTAATTACTGTCATTTTAGTGAGTTTCTAGAAGGATTAGAGATAAATGTATGCATTTAGTTCACTTTGTTTAACTGAAAGTCCTCTGATATTTTTATAATTTCTTCCTTTTTTCCCTCTTTTTCCTCATTTAGTTTTATCTGGGAATTCTAGTTTCTTTTTTAAAAATTTACTGTTTATTTGCTATATTTTTATTACTCATTTTGCTTGTACTTTCTCTAAATAGAGCTATTTAAATTGACTTTAAGATAGTACTTTGAAGAGACAAAATAAAACAGAAGGAAGATATTAATGTCCTTTGGTTACTAATTGACTTGTCTGTAGCTTAATTTTCAGAACAGTTGGTTTTCATTTTCATGGACTAGGAAACCTCCCATCCCCTCCCCTACTTTTGGGAAGGAAACCATTATTGGCTATGGGCAGGCTTTATGCTTAAATTTACATATGTATTGCATTTACATACATGATGTTCAAGTCTCTGCTTGAAAATTAGTGGAAAGAAGCTTTGATTTCTCTTATTTATTGCTATACAGGATTTACTTCTCTGTTGGACCAATAGCTAGAGGATAGTCCTGTCTTCATCATTTTAACTGTCATCATCCAGAATGATTTTGAAGTAATTTTTCAGAAAATGGTTATCCGATTACATAGTATCCCATTTAGTTTTTTTTTTATAGCATTTTGCATTGTTGCTTTTCAGTCATTTTCATGTTGTAAATTCTCTTATGGTTTATCGGACCACTGTGATAATTAATGCATATCTTACATAATTGAGTCTCATTATTTGTGTAATAGTGGAGGTGAGTTTGTTTTACTTGATGTTGAAATATTTTAACGCATATTTTTTCCTTATAGTAAAGCCGTTTGCAAATAAAGAAGAATATAAAAAAACTGAAGAAATTGTCCAAAAATTTCGAGATGGTATTGGAAGAAAACTGCACCAGAAATTACTTGAAAGGGCAAAAGGAAAAAGAAATTGGGTATTTATGTTATTGGACTTAGAATTAGAAAATTGATGATGCCTAAAGAATGAAAAATAAAAATGTAAATAGCTTTCATTTTAAAATTATTAGCGTAAGTGTCCTTTCAGCCATTGTTATAGTCATCCAAAAGAATTAATAAATTGTTTAACTCTAGGGAGTTTTGAGTGTTGTGTGTGAGCTCCTCTCTTATATGGGGAACCTGTCAAAATACAGATTGCTTGGGATCAGGTATTCTGAATGGGGGCCCAGAAACCCTTATGTTGGCAGCTGTCCCATGTGGTTCTGATGGAGGTGTTCTGTAGCCCTTGCTTGTGAGAAAGACTTCGTTCAGGTAATCCTAGTCTGACAAACTCCAGACACCAAAAATAGATACCACATAGGTGGTATACAAATATTTAAACATCATATGGGAGAGAAAGGGCCATTACAAAATTGGAGTGGAGAATGATTATGAGTATTATGTATTTTAGTTAAATAGATTGAAGGGGAGATGTTAGTATAATAATTACTGAGGCACTAATTTTCTACAGGGAGTCTTTGACTTCTTCAGCTTAATTACCTCTGTAGTATGAACCAGAGGATAAGTTTTTGTAATTAAAAAACATTGCCTTACTCTAGAAATAATGATTGTAGCTATCTTTAAGTTTTAGAAATAAAAAGGAAGCTGATCTTTTCATTAGTCATTGATACCTGTGATGGAATAATGAAATTTTATACTTCCAGATTCCTTTATTCTCAGTCTTGAGACTTGAGTGACTTTATAATTAAATCAGGGTAAAGATAAAGAAGTCTGTATCCTTTTGCTTATTTCTTTTCCTAAATGATTGATTATAGTTTATAACATCAGTTCCTTAAAAAATAACTCCACGTAGTTTGATGGGATCTGTTTACCTAAGCATGAAATTCAATTGCAGATTGTAAAAGACGGCCACAGAAAGCTCTGTCTGTGAAAAATCTAAATTAGTTTTAGGTATACTGAAAAGGTTTTAGATTTCTGATTTAGTATTTCAGTTTTCGCTTGGAAAAGGGTAATCGCAAATGCCTTAATAGTTGTTAAAATTAAATGAGGATTTGTTTTATATTTATTTACCCAAGGTGCTCTGAGAAAACACACCTAAGTACTTAGTTTGGTATTTGTGACTCCAATAAGATCTTTCTGAAAAGGTGCCTTTTCATTGTTTTCTTGTTGCCTGTTTTTGATAGTGTAGTTAAACAGAATAGTATTTAAGATCTGATAGTTCCAAAAAAGGAAATGATCACAGTAGCATTTTTCAATATCTACGATGATTTAAAACAAGAAAATGTCTTTATTTCTTAATTTTTTTTTGTTTTGTTTTCAAAACAAACTTACTGAGGTAAAATTTACATATAATAAAATCTGTTATCAGTGTAAAATGGGCATGGGTAAGAAAACATGTTTCTAAGTGTTAAAGAGTAAAGAGAAAAGAACAAATACAGCTTTTCTTCCCCCTTGTAGTTACACATTCAAGTATTCTCAGCATTAGGTTGATGTTCTTATTTTCTTTTAGCTGGAAGAGTGGTGGCTGAATTGTACCTATCTGGATGTTCGTTTACCATTGCAACTGAGTGTCAATTTCGCTGGTCCTGCACCTTATATTGAACACTACTGGCCTCCAAAGGAGGGCACTCAGTTGGAAAGAGGAAGTATAAATCTTTGGCATAACTTGAATTACTGGCAGCTGTTAAGAAAGTAAGGACAGTTCTGTGAATTTAGTAAGAGATTTACTCAAAGTTTGACATGCCAAGTAAAGTTTGACATGCCAAAATGTTGAGAAGCTTAATTTATTTATTTAGAGGATCCTACAGTTGTGACTACTCGGTTTATAAGTTTTAGAATGACTTGTTGATCAAAATACTTTTTTTGTTTGTTTGTTTTAATAGAGAAAAAGTGCCTGTTGATAAATCTGAAAATAGTCCTCTAGATATGAGTCAATTCCGAATGCTGTTTTCCACCTGCAGGATTCCAGGAATTACTAGAGATTCAATTATTAGTTATTTTAGGACTGGTAAGTAGAAAACATGGGTGATTTTTTTTGGTAAAGGCATTGGGATTTGGGTAGTTTCGCTGCAGTTTCTACTATGACACTATGGAACATACTCTTTTGAGTATTTCTTCACTGAATTTTGACTAATCAGAGGCTTTTTTTGAACCTTTCAGTCATTGTAATTAGTCAGAAATAATTTACGGGAATGGATTTTGTAAACTGCATCTTAACATTGTTCTGTGCAAAACCTGATGATTACGTTGTGTCATTTGAGAGTTGAAATTCTAAAGAGTATTATTAATCAGAGTATTAGGAAGTCTGGAGCATAGGATTTGGATCTATCTCTGTCCTCTTCTTTAAATTCTCTTTTTGAGTGTGCTTATCTGTGCTTATCATGCCCCGTTTCTCTTTGTGAGTATGCCCTTCCTTCTACCCCCAATCATATGAGCTGAGAGCCTGATATCAGTCTTCTCGAAGACATATGAGTTCAGATTGACTCATCAAAGTTTTTGTTTTTACTGTCAGCTTAATGGCAAATTCTCCTTGGTGTGCTAGCATATCTTAAAATGGAAAATAGTTTTGTAAGTGCTGTTTTCCAGTTATTTCAGGATCTTTTTCTTTTTTATAAATTTAATAACATAGCTTATGGTGGGGTGCCTGGGTGGCTCTGTGGGTTAAAGCCTCTGCTTTCGGCTCAGGTAGCGATCCCAGGGTCCTGGGATTGAGCCCCTCATTGGGCTCTCTGCTCAGCGGGGAGCCTGCTTCCTCCTTTCTCTCTCTGCCTTCCTCTCTGCCTACTTGTGATCTATCAAATAAATAAATAAAATCTTAAAAAAAATAACATAGCTTATGGTTACTGTGGAATGTAATTATGGTTACTGTGGAATGTAATATTTTTCTTAACTGAAATTTCATTTAAAAGTAAAATTTCTATAGCCAGTTTTGTTTGTAGTGTGGGGAGTATGAGTTTACTTTCATGTATAACTCAACTCATCTTTGTAAACCTCATTAGATGCTTGAGATATTTAATGTCCTCAAGCCCACTCATACTTGTCTTGATGTTGCAACTGAAAGGCCTGGTTATTTGTGGCATAAAGTTTAATGGCTAAATATGAATGGAAAAGATGAATAGGAGAAAATGGAGAACAGCCGTAACAAAGAGAGAAATATACCTATCAATTAGGATCTAATATCAATAGACCTGGTTTTCAGTTTAATCTTTTTCACTTCATAGTTCCTTAGCTAAGGTAATCCTTTAAGTTACAGTATGTAAAATTCAGGTTCATTAATTTAATAATGTGTCTCTTAATGCAGTCCTTTAAGCTGTTGTGGTTAGTATATTCTTGTACTTAAGACCATGTGAAGATATGTAGATAGCTGAGATGTAGACAAAGCTGAGGGAATAACTAAAAATAACAGAGTTAGTGATACTGTATAGGGAATTGAGATAATATGAGTAATTGAGTGGCTATTTTAGATTAGATAGTCAGGGAAAACCTCTCAGAGGATCTGAATGATATGATGATCCAGCAGTTTTTTGGCTTTTTATTTTTCTTTTAAGTTCAGTTTGTTGTTTTATGTGTTGAGGAGGGAATCCCATGAATAAACTTGGCATGTTTGAAGGGGAATATGGATGGACCAGAATAGGCAGGAGGCAGAGGGGACTATTGGAGTGTTGACTAGAAATGAGATCATATAGTACTTTGTAAGCCAACTAAGGTTTTTGGCTTTTTTAAGAATGTGAATAGATAGTGAGTTTTGAGAAAGAAAGTGATGTGATCAGATTTATGTTTTGAAAAGATGATTCTAGGGTTGCCTGGCTTGCTCATTTGTTAAGCATCTGCCTTTGGTTCAGGTCATGATCCTGGGGTCCTGGGATTGAACCCCATATCAGGCTCCCTGCTCAGTGGGGACCTGCCTCTCCCTCTCCTACTCCCCCTGCTTGTGTCCCGATCTCACTGTATCTCTTTCTGTCAAATAAATAAATAAAATCTGTTTTGTTTTTTTTATGTGCTATGGTGAGTGCTGTGAAGTGTGTAAACCTGGCGATTCACAGATCCGTGCGCCTGGGGCTATTAATACATTATATGTTTATAAAAAAATTTTAAAAATTATGTATATATATATATATATTTTTAAAGATGATTCTACCTGCTATTTGAGGATTAAGATTTTTAGGAACAGATCAGGGTAGAAGCAGGGATATCAGTTAGAAAATTGTTTCAGTAATCCAAGAGAGCCATAAAAATGTCTCGTAACTAAGGTGATAGCATGGAGCTGGTAAAAAGTTGCTAGATTCTGGATATATTTTGGATTTGGATTTGGTAGAATTATTCATAGATTGGTTGTGATATGTGAGAGAAAAAGGAGAATCAGAGATAACTTACAGATATTTGGCTTGAGTAATGGGATCTATAGGTGTGTTGGTTCTTGAGGTGGGAAACTTTGGGAGGAAATACTTAGGGAGGAAATTAAGAGGTCCCTTAGACTATGTTGAATTTAAGATGCCCTTTAGACATCTGAAGTGGAAATGCAAGTAGGCAGTTAGATAAAAAGTTTGGAGTTCAGAAGAGATTTCAGTACTGCACATACATAGGGATTCAGGAATCACCATTAGTAGTCATAAAATACATTTTTAAAGGCATAAGAGTAGCTAAAGTTACTTTTGTGACACCTGGAGATGGAGATTATCAGGGGAATCAGTACCAGTACCGAATCTTACCACAATTAAATAGGGCATTTGGTAGTCTGAAGAGGAGAACATAGCAAAAGAGACCAAGGTGGGAAGAAAGGAAGGACAGTGGTCGCCCGGAAGCCAGGAAAAGAAAGTGTTGTATCAAATGCACCAAGAGGCCAAATGAGATAAAAAAAAAAAAAGTGACCATTGTATTTATCAACATGATATGGACTGAGTCTGCCCTGACAAGAGCAGTCTTAGTGGAACTTGGGGATGGAGCTCAGTTGGAGGAGGTGAAAGCAAACCAAGTAAGTAGTGACAACATTTGGAACTAATGCTTACAGAAGAAGCTTTGATGTGCAGTGGGAGGGACTTCATTTATTTTTAAAAAATGAGTGGTATTTAACATAGGAATGACATAGAGAGAAAAATAATCTGGCAGGGTAAAGGATAAGCTGCCAAAGTCATTGAAAAGATAAGAACTGAGAGGATCAAGAGTAGAAACAGTGGAGGGTTGGTCTTTGATAGGAGCAAGGATGAGAAGGAATGCAGAAAGTGCATCTGGGTGGAAATAGATGGGTCAATTTTGTTGTGGGAAGATGAGGAGGTCTATGTAATCTTTGTGTTTTTCTTGGTGAAATGAGAACTGAGGTCATTAGCTGGGGTAGAAGACTTGAGGAGAAAGGAAAAGTTTTAAAATACTAGTCATTTTGGGTGGCTCAGTGGGTTAAAGCCTCTGGTCAGGTCATGATCTCAGGGTCCTGGGATGGAGCCCCGCATCGGGCTCTCTGCTCAGCAGGGAGCCTGCTTCCTCCTCTCTCTCTCTGCCTGCCTCTGCCTGCTTGTGATCTCTCTGTCTGTCAAATAAATAAATAAAATCTTTTTTAAATAAATAAATAAATAGATAGATAGATAGTCATTTTGGGAGGGTACCTGGCTGGCTCAGTCGGTAAGTATCTGTCTCTTGTTTTTGGGCTCATGTCATGATCTCAGGGTCGTGGGATGAGCCCCACGTTGGGCTCTGCGCTCAGCATGGAGTCTGCTTGAGATTCTCTCTCCTCCCGCCTCTGCCTTTCCCCCAGCTTGCTCTCTCTTTCTCTTTCAAAATAAATAAATAAATATGTAAAATCTAAAAAAAAAAAAAAAAAAAATTTAGTCATTTTGGAAAGTGGGAGAAGCAAATGTGCTAGGGGAATGCAGGATAGCTGATCAGTGTTGTGTGCCCATTTGAAATGGTGTGTTTAAGAATTTAAAGTTAGATTAGACTGTGTTTTTTTCTTCAGCAACAATCAGGCAGGCACAGAGCCAGAGAGTGAAAGATTTAAGGGTTTTACAAGGAAGAAATTAAAATGCTGGGCCATGGAATCTATCTTTGATACAGAGAAAATTGAAGAGATTATGCATGCAAAGGCAGCATGTAAGGCTCTGGCTAAGAGGATAATGTCATTAAGGAGGCAGTAGTTGAGAACTATTTTTATTTTTACTTACCCCATAAGAGACCATTAAGACTAATTCAGTCATGCCTTTTATCCTGTTTTACCTCATTTGCCTGAGCAGTTCAAACCTCTCAGGTCATCTCTTATCTAGTTTCAGGGATTTCTGTGTAGCCTAATTTGATCCAAGTTTTCCCACTACTGTGACCCACCCTTCCTCCATTTCCCCGACTCTTCTGCTATACTTTCTGGAGCTCATGGTCAGCAAAATCCTTTATATCCTCAATGTTTTCTCTGGAAGTTCCTGTTTCCTTCTGAAAGGTACTATTACTGAACCTGGTTATTTGAGATCCCTGCATTCCCTCTAACCATCTCAAGTGGGTATATTTTTTTGTCATACTGAGGATATATAGGAGATGTTGGTGTCGTTTTTATTTCTGGTGGCCCGTGTCCCTTTTTTTTTTCCTTCCTTACAGTTAGAGCTCTTGAAAAAAGGAAAGCTATCAGGTTATGTCACCAGAGCTTGTCATTGTCGTAGTGACCTTTTTCCTTTAATTCTTAACAAAATTTTTTTAATTTAAATTCAATTAAACATATATGGTATTATTAGTTTCTGAGGTAGAATTTAGTATTCCCCCATTGCTTTATCACCAGTCTCACTATCTTTCTTTTTCATCACTACTTCATTCACATTCTTTTCTTTTTTTTTTTTTTTTAATTTTTAAAAGTTTTTATCAATTTATTTGACAGAGAGAGAGAGGGAGAGAGCACAAGCTGGGAAACAGCAGTCAGAGGGAGAGGGAGAAGCAGGCTTCCCTGCTGAGCAGGGAGCCTGATGCAGGGCTCAATCCCAGGGCCCTGGGATCATGACCTGAGCCGAAGGCAGAGGCTTAACCATCCGACTGAGTCACCCAGGCGCCCCCCACATTCTCGTTCTCGATGACTTTAGCTTCTAGTTGTAGATAATCCATGATCTCCTTTCCTTCACTTTTTTCATCCAGTAATCTGTACCGTCACTCCTTCTCAGGCAACCACACACCTATGGTCATGCCATAGAACTTGTTATTATAAGAAACTTATGTCCTCTAACATAGAAATTAAAAGCATTTCATTCTGATCTCCACCTTCTCTTCACAACTCACTTCCTTTACTAGTCAACCTTAGCTATGTCTTTGACCACGCTGTGATTTCAATTGAGTTATGGAATAGTTCTTCACAGTTCCATTCCTCCCTCTTCCACCCCCAATCTGTACTTCTTTCTGTGCTTATTCACTGGAATTAACTCCTTCATACACATTCAAATCTTTGCGCACTCACTCCTTCCTCACTCTACCCATACCCCATCATGATTTAATTTTCATTGTCTGTCTTGCCTCTATACATTAAAGATACCTACCCTAGCAATTTACTTGGCCTGAGAAAACCAGAAAACCTCTTTTGATTTTCTCAAACCCCAAATGGATCCAGAGCATGAACTTGCCATATTGTTTTGTCATGTTATTCTCTCACTTCCAGAGAAACTATTTCATGCCTTTTTCCTTCCTTATTCTCAGCTAATGGACTCCTCTCTCAACAAATGTAAAACAGTCTTTCCATCACTAAATCTAGTAGCCTGTTAGGTGGAATGATGCCTCCCCACCCGCCAGAGATGTTCGCTTTCTAATCCGTGGAACGTGTTGAATGTTTTAGGTTGCATGGTAAAGGGCAGTAAAGGTTGCAGATGAAATTAAGACTGTTAATCAGTTGATGTAACATGGGAAGATTATTCTGGATTATTCATGTGGGTACAGAGTAATCACAGGAGTTGTCATAAGTGAAGAGAGAGGCATAGAGAGAATCAAACTGATGGCAGCAAATTGATGGAAAGTCATGAACCTCCCTTGATGGCTTTGAGATGGAAGAGGCAAGTCCTGAGTCCAGGAGTATGGGTAGCCTCTGGAAACTAGAAAAGCGAAGGAAATTCGTTCTCCTCTAGAGCCTCCAAAAGGAACACAGGTATGCTGACACTTTCATTTTAGCCTACTAAGACACATTTCAGACTTCTGGTCCCCAGACCTGTTAGGACCTGGTCAGTAAATGACAGGAAAAAAAAAGGTAGTATTAAATGTAAAAAGATATGGAGGGTTTTGAAGGAGAAGAGAGAAGAAATGTTTTGGAAATAGTCATAAAAGACAAGAAAAATACATGTCTTACCTCCTAGGACTTGAGAAAATAGGATATTAGAGAAAAAAAGTGCTGTCAGGAGGTGGTGTTTCTCATAGTTGATGGATTTCGGGAGATAATGTGTGCAAAGTATTTACCACAGTTCTTGTACATATCAACCAGTAAATTTCCTTCTGTTGGTAATATATGTCTCCTCTTTTTTTTTCTTAGAGGCAAGAAGCAGAGATCATATAGGAAGCCATTTGTTAAAAGGAATAATAATTGAAAAATGAGGCTAAATCAGAATAGTCTGAGATTTACAGCAAAGCTGTAGTTCTTGGGGAGTAAAGGCATACCCAGTAAATCATAGACTAAGTTATCAGTGGCTTACCAGGTATCATTAGAACCTTAAATAAAACTAGATTTGGCAAAAGCATTGTTGCCACGCAGGCAAAGAGTGATCTTTCTCAACTGAAAACTATTTTATTTAGAAACCATAGCTAGATATTACTGCAATTTAAATTATCTGTTGAGTGGTCAACATTGAAATAAACCCAAAGAAAAACTAATTCAAATAGCTCTTCTCCAGGATTCCTTGCTACCCTTTTCCCCTCATCATTGCTATCCGTGAATAAACCAGAGAGCCCTGCAGTAGTTTGGGATTTATACGAGTCTCAGGGTGTACAAATACTTGAAACTCCATGGGTTTTTCATGTTTCACATGGACAGTTTTCAAGAGTGTATGTTTATATCATAGTTGAAAGTCCACCTTATTGTTCATACGATATATTTGGTGAGTATATGACGAAGTATTGGAGCAAGGGTTATTTTCTTCTACTGGGTGTAAATACGTAGTTATACTCTTATGTAACTTTGAGAGCTTGAGTTTGTGTTTCTGTTTCTTTTTCCAGAGAGTGAAGGCCATTCCCCAACTCACATTGCAGTGCTTTGTCGAGGCCGAGTTTTTGTCTTCGATATGATACATGAAGGATGTTTGATCACCCCACCAGAGATTTACAGGTTTTCATTCTACTTTCTTGAGCCTTGAGGTGTTAAGCCTTTGCTTGAGTTTAAAAAATAAATATTCAGAATTGCCTTTTTTATAGGCAAGAGTAAGCTAAAAAGAAGAATTTTATGTATGCTGATTTTTCAAAAGTATTTTTATTTCATTTTATTTTTAAAAATTTTTTAAAGATTTTATTTATTAGGGCGCCTGAGTGGCTCAGTGGGTTAAGGCCTCTGCTTTCGGCTCGGGTCGTGGTCCCAGGGTTCTGGGATCGAGCCCCGCATCGGGCTCTCTGCTCGGCGGGGAGCCTGCTTCCTCCTCTCTCTCTGCCTGTCTCTCTGCCTACTTGTGATCTCTGTCAAATGAATAAATAAAATCTTTAAAAAAAAAAAAAGATTTTATTTATTAGAGAGTGAGTGAGAGAGAAAGCACGAGCAGAGGGAGAGGTAGAGGGAGAAGCAGGCTCCCCGCTGAGCAGGAAGCCCGATGCTGGGCTCCATCCTGGACCCTGGGATCATGACCTGAGCCTAAGGCAGATGCTTAACCATTTGAGCCACCCAGGCACCCCTGTCTGCTGTAGCATTTGTTAATCTTTTGACTTTTTCAAGAAAAATCATTGTTAGTCATCTGTTTTTTAGAGCCGCTGACAGAGCTTGCATTCGCACCAACTGTAAGAAGGTTCCCCTTTCTCTACAACCTCACCAAAATCTGTTGTTTCCTGACTTGTTAATTTTAGCCATTCTGACTGGTGTAAAGTGGTATCTCATTGTGGTTTTGATTTGTATTTCCCTGATGCCGAGTGATGTGGAACATTTTTCATGCCATGATTAATGGTTTACGGCAACATCAAGCTGAAAGCCCCCTCCTGGGCCAGCTGATTGCCGCTGGCTTCCCCACTCCGATGCCTGGGAGCTCTGCCATACTCAGGCACCCCCAATCTTCCTGTGACCCTGGGGATCCTGAGACCATACTGCCGCAACTAGGATTCCACCTCACTTCGCCACCTGAGCACCTTTCAGGTGGGTGGCCTTCACCAGAACAGACTTTCAGAAGTTCTTATTTTGTGCTCTGCTGCTAGATAATTTTCCAGTAGCTGGAAGCTCCCTCCCCTCCATGGTTTATCTTCCTATATATCTCCTCAGATTGACTTCTCCGCATCTCCTGCCTTGCAGAAAGTTGTTGCTTTTCTATTTGTAGAATTGCAGCTCTTCTTTCTTTAGAACTCTGGTTGAGTTCAGAGGTGTTCAGAATGATCTGATAGCTATCTAGCTCAGTTCCAGGGACCAGACGAAACTAAGGTCTTCTACTCCCCCACCATCTTAGAAAGTCCTCTTTGTTAGCAATTCTTAAAACACATCAGGTTATCTGTAATCTTTGTACTTGTGCTTTCTGTTTGGAATGCCCTTTTCTTCCGTCTCCACCTTTTGAATAAGCAAGCATTCTTTCTCATGCCTTATGTCTCTATTCACATGTCACCACAAAGTTAACTCTTTGCTGATTTCCCCTTCTCTTTCTGATAATAACCATCCAAATAGCTGTGAAGATTTCCTTCCTTTTTAAGGGTGAATAATGTTCCACTGTGTGTGTGTGTGTGTATCTTTAGTACACTTTGTTTATTCATTCATCTGTCAACAAATAGTTAAGTTGCTTCCACCTCTTGGCTATTGTGAATAATACTGTGGTGAACATGGGAGTGCAGATGTCTCTTCAAGGTCCTGATCTCAGTTCCTTTGGATATATACCCAGAACTGGGATTGCTGGATCACAAAGTAGTTCTACATTTAATTTCTTGAGTAACATCCATACTGTTTTCTATAGTGGCTGGACCAATTTACACTCCCACCAGCAGTGCACAGGAGTTCTTTTCTCCACATCCTCACCAACACTCATTTCTTATCTTTCTGGTAATAACCATCCAGATAGCTGTGAGGTGATATATCGTTGTGGTTTTGACTTATACTTCCCTAATGATTAGTCATGTTTAGTACCTTTGCATGTACTTGCTGACCATTTTTCTGTCTTCTTTGAAGAAATGTCTGTTCAGTTCCTTTGCCTATTTTTAAGTCAGACTGGTTCTTTTTGCTGAGTTATAGGGGTTCCTTATGTATTTTGGATATTCTTATCAGATATAAATATCAGATATAAATATTCTTATCAGATATATGGCTTGCAAATACTTTCTCATATTCTGTAGGTTGCCTTTTAATTTTGTTGTTAACTGTGTGGAAGTTTTTGGATTGATGTAATCTCACTTGTCTGTTTTTACTTGTGTTGTCTGTGCTTTTGTTGTCTTTGTAAAACCTGTGGATTTTTGTCTGATGAAAATGTATTTCTTTGTTGAAGAACCCTGTTATTGTCATCTGTGTAAAAATCTGATGAAATTCATCGGATTGGCAGAAGCAAGTACTTTGAGAGGAAATAATTTGTCTTCATCTAATAATCTTTACAATGATGATAAGTAGCAACAGCAAATGTGAAAATACTTAAAACTGACTGCATAGTACTTCTGTTTTTGGGGTTACACACAAATATTAATCGGATATAGTGTAATTTCTTAAGTATATATGCACATAGTTTTTAGTTAGATAAGATATGCATATTTGTAATATTATTTGTCATAATATTTTTCAAGTTCTCTATTGTAAGAGATATTTATTGTAAGGAGTATTGACTTGGACCCTAGAAGTACAAGTACATTTGGAAGTATAAGTAATACTAGCCAAACAGTTTATTTACTTAAGTTGTTGTCAAATGTACTTTTGTGTGAATAGGCCACATACTCAATTATTTTTTTAAAAAATAAGATGGGTATGAGAGATAAATCCATTTCTGTTGAGATCATAACCCCTTTCTTTGGATAATATATGAAAACATAAGTACTGATAAATATTATGACCTATTAAAGGCTAAAAGTAGCTAGTGATCGTGCTTATGCTCTTTTTAAATACTCTTTCTTTAATCTTTCCTAAGGCAATTAACATACATTCACAGGAAGTGCCATAGTGAACCTGATGGACCTGGGATAGCAGCATTGACTAGTGAGGAACGAACTCAATGGGCTAAGGTTATATGGTTTTCTTTTGTTGTTGTTCTTTTAAGATTGATTTTATTTATTTATTTATTTATTTATTTATTTATTTATTTATTTATTTAAAGAGCGCTTGAGCAGGGAGAAGGAGAGAGGGCATCTCAAGTGGACTCCGCGTGGAGCCTGATGCAGGGCTCCATCCCACAGACCTGAGATCATGACATGAGTTGAAATCAAGGGTTGGACATTCAGCCGACTGAGACACCCAGGTGCCCCCCCCTTTTTTTTAAATTGAGGTATATTTGACATAAAATTATATTCGTTTCAGTGTACAACATGATGATTAAATAGTTGTATATATATATTACAGAATGATCACAATAAATCTAATTAACATCCATCATCTCATATAATTACAAATATTTTTTCTTGTGATGAGGACTTTTAAGATTCTAGGGGCACCTGGGTGGCTCACGTCATCATCCCAGGGTCCTGGGATTGAGCCCTACGTGGGGCTTCCTGCTCAGAGCAGTGCGGAGTCTGCTTCTACCTCTCCCTCTGTCCCTCCCCTAGCTCATGCTCTCTCTCTCGTACTCTTTCTCAAATAATTAAATAAATAGATAGATAGATAAATCTTTTTTTAAAAAGAAGTATTCTGTTAGCAATTTTCAAATATGTAATACAGCATTATTAACTTTACAGACATCCTTCATGTTTTGAAAGTTTGTGTTATGTCACTTCACTTTCACAAAGGACCTACTTTAGTACTTGTTTTTGTCCATTGAAAGAAACCCAGAAAGGATTTTTGCTGTTATGAAAAAAGGCAAAAAGCAAAAATAGTGTTCAGCATGGTTTTGTTTTTTTTTCTGCACGCTCCCTGGAGGAGCATGCCGTCTCCCTGGCAGCAACAAGCTCCTTCCCCAGGAGCTGCCCTCAGTATCTCAGCATCAAGCTTTGAACATCAGTGCCCACGAGCATCTGTGCTTTATCTCACTTTATTTGTAAGTCCTCTACCAAAATGTGTCCTATGTTATCAGTAAAGCCTCTAAGAGAGGTCATTTTTTGGGCCCAGGAATGTTCAAACATTTTTCCGTATAAATTAATAGTAATTGCTTTTCTGCTTTTTACCATTTTGACTTAAGAACGCTCTACTTCCAGATAGCAGTTTACACTTTTCTTGATGAACCTTTCCCTAACAAATTATTTTGAGATTTTTCTGGATATAGTTAATTTGTAATATTTAATCACTTTCTCTTTACACATTAGGCACGAGAGTATTTGATTAGTCTTGATCCAGAGAATTTGACTATGTTAGAAAAAATTCAGAGCAGTTTACTGGTATATTCCATAGAAGATAGCAGTCCACATGTAACACCAGAAGATTATTCTCAGGTACGTAAGTATCTTGCTTTGCTATTTCTTCTCACAAATTATTCTGGAAGACTCTTGTGTATACCAAAGATGAGAAGATTTTTTTGTTATATGCAGGGTCTTAAAATTTTTTCGTAGCTATCATATATATTTACCAGGTTGGAGCTTATACATAAATAATCCTTCATAAAGTATTGTTATTGTCATTGTTTAGGTAATGTAGATATACCTTGGACATTGTTTAAAGAAGTATGACTTGTTTGCATATACAGAAAATTTGCATAGGACACTGGGCTAAATGAGCTTATGCCAGGGGTGACATGAGAACATACCTGTGACCCACACCAGTGTATCTTGACACCTTAGTTGCTCGGGTCTGTTCTAAGAGTTATAGCAGTCTTCTAAGTTATTTATTTTAGCATTTAGTTTTATTGACAGACTTTAGTGAGTTTAAGAGTAAATGTGGCCTTACTTTGTTTCCCCTCCCCCGCCTACTCTGGGTAATATTATCATTTCCTGGGAAATAATAAAAGGTAGTAGTCTTATTTGTAGATGTCTCTTGGTCTTTTGAAAACATTTATATTAAATGATAGAAATAGTACAGAGTTGGAAAATCTTGTAGGTAGAAATAACTTTCTTTTATATAAACTGAACTTTATTTTTTAAGTAGGAGAGTTACCAAACTTCTTGAGGAAGAATATATTCTAATGTAGTACTCTTTGAACTTTCACTGCCAGAATCTAGTTAGCCTTGCGTTTAGATTGTAGTCTACTACATATATACACACACGTAACGGAAGTTTCAGAAAATAGTAATTACTTTTACTATCTGTGATAGAGTCGAATATTTGTATTCTCTCTCTTTTTTTTTTTGTAATGAATGTTTACTGTGATATATTAAATCAATTTCGTGACTCCCTAATGGGCCAAAGCCTACTGTGTGAGAAACAAGCTTAGTGGATATGAATTCAGTGTAAATTACAATATTATTAAAATATCTTCTTCATAAGTGGACTCTAATGACTAAACTTACCACAGCTTCTTAGACTATTCAAGCTGCAAAAGCTTTGTCTTTTCTTTTTAAGTTCTCTAAACCCCCATGACTATTGTACCAGCTTTCTGTTTTTCATAGGATTTTTGAGATTTTGAGAAATATTTAAAGACAGGGCTGGAATTAGTATTATCTCTTGAGTATAATTATTATCATTTTACTAAATTTGGTTTACCTGAAGAGGAAAAGTGACATCTTCTATAGGTGTGTGTGTGTGTGTGTGTGTGTGTGTACACTTATATAATATACACAGACATATAAGATGTAAATACTTATAAACCTCTTAACATTAAATTCTCTTAACTTTAAAATACTACATGTATTTTAGGTAACCACAATGACCCTTACAGGAGATCCAACTGTACGCTGGGGAGACAAATCTTATAACTTGATTTCCTTTTCCAATGGAGTATTTGGCTCTAGTTGTGATGTAAGTAAACTTCCTGAAGTTACTTTTCTTTTCAATTGTTTAGGTTAATTTAGTGGCAATAAACTAGGTAGGCTGTTCTGTGTTCATATAAATACACACTTTTATAGCTCTGTTGACATTATACTAAAAGGTTTAGTTTTGAATTCTCAGTGAAAACAGAATAGGACAAGTTATTTTCATTTGTAGTATGGCTAATAGTTTGGTGTGTATCTGCAAAGTGGAAGTTGCATGTATTTTATGTAGTTACGGATTTTTTTTTTTTAAAGATTTTATTTATCTACTTGATAGACAGAGATCACAAGCAGGCAGAGAGGCAGGCAGAGAGAGAGGGAGGAGGAAGCAGGCTCCCCGCAGAGCAGAGAGCCCGACGCGCAGCTAGATCTCAGGACCCCGGGATCACGACCTGAGCCGAAGGCAGAGGCCTCAACCCACTGAGCCACCCAGGCACCCCTGTAGTTACGGATTTTAAAGAATTATGAAGCTCTTTAAAATGCACTGTTACCTATTGAGAATTAGAACCTATTTCTTTTTTTAAGATTTTAATTTATTTTTGCAAGAGATAGGTAGAGGAGAAGGGAGCATGGGGGGGAGGGGCAGAGGAAGAAGCAGACTCCCTGCTGAGCAGGGAGCCCCATGTAGGACTCCATCCTAGGATCCAAGGATCATGACCTGAGCAGATGATTAACTGACTGAACCACCCAGGTGCCTGAATTGCAACTTACTTTAAAAGATTCAGTGTATGTCTGTGTTCTTTGCACAGAGAAGTAGATGTGCATATATTTCTAGATTTTCCCAGTAATTTAATTATTTTCCTAAAATAGCACATGACCTTTGGAACATTTATTTACACTATAGATAATAAAGTGTCAGGTGCTTCTACTATTTTTTACCTTCTTATTTAAAAAAAAATCTCTTTATTCTCCTGTGATCATCTTTATTAACTCTACCTTGCCATTTTCTGATGGACGTTCAAGAAGTCTGTGAACCTAGAAAATTAAAAAACAAAAAGTTGCAATATACACTTACAATCTCATTGTAAGATCTTTCGTAAAACATGGAACTGACTATAAAGTAGTGTGAGGTAGTTTTTTTGACCTGTCATATTGATCTGGGCTGAATAGCTGTATTAATCAGTATTTATTCAGGTTTAGGTGATAGAAACCTAAATTATACTGACATTAGCTTAAGAAGGTATTCGTTGGCATAGGAGTACACTTAAGTTTGGGTAAGACTGACTTCCAGTGTACAAATGCTTTCATTAGAAATTTCTTTCTCCATTTTTGGGCATTTTTTCCTATGTTTGACTTCATCTTCAGGTAGACTATCCCCTGTGATTGTCGTATCCACAATCTCATGTCTTCACAGCTCCTTTCACAGATTAGTGTTCCAAATGCAAATGGCCAGCTTACCATGGCTGCCCTCCCCCTTCTTCCCTGCAGTGGTTCCAACACAAGTCTTGGGAATAATGCTCACTGGTTGTTATTGGCCTTTGTCTATCATGTGCCCGTTCTGAGGACTCAGGTACTCTTAATTACCTGACCCGGGTCACATGTTAAACCTTGGCCTCTAGGGGGTAGAATCATTCTCATTCAAACCATTATAGATGTGTGGTGGTTGCCTACAGAAAAATCTTGGAAGAAGGTTAAGTGGTTGATGAGCAGGTAATAAAACTAGTTGTCTGTTATAGTAGCTCATCAGAGTGAAAGGTTGCTATGAGTGCTTTTAAAGATTTATAGTCTTTCCTCTTCCTTGAAGTTCATTGTTGACAAAATATTTCTTATTAATTGCCTCAGTTTTCTTCTCTTGAGTTCTTTCTTTTGTTCTTCTTGACTTTCTCAATCTGGTTTATATTGTCACTGTTTCCTGGCACACTATCCTTTGTGAAGTAGCTAACTACTTCCTACCATCTTCCTCTATTTCCTCCTCATAGTACTCAGACACTGCCTCCATCTTAACAGCCTTTTCCTATCTGCTGATTCTGACCCTAATGTTAAGTCTCACTTTTCCCTCCTGTGTGTGTTCTCTTCCTGTTTTAATAGTTTCATTGACTGTTTTTACATAGGTAGCTTGCAGTTAGTCTTTTTTTTTTTAAGTTTTTGTTTAAATTCCAGTTAGTTAACATACAATGCAATATTAGTTTCAGGTGTACAATATAGTGATTCAGCGATTCCATACATCACCTAGTGCTCATCATTACAAGTGAACTCCTTAATCCCCATCACCTATTTCACCTACCCGCTACCCACCTCCCCTCTGATAACCATTAGTTCTCTATAGTTAAGAGTCTGTCTTTCTCTTTATTTTTCCCTTTGCTCATTTGTTTTGCTTGTTAAATTCCATATATAAGTGAAATCATTTGGTATGTGTCTTTCTCTGACCCATTTAGCTAAGCATAATACTCTCTAGCTCCATCCATGTTGTTGGAAATGGCAGAACTTTTTCATTTTTTTATGGCTGAATAATACTCTGTTGTATATGTATACCACAACTTCTTTACCCATTCATCAGTTGATGTAGCAGTTTTTCTTTTCTAGTTTTTACCTCTTCTCATTTTGAGAATTTTGTTTCATTGTATATTGTTCAAACTGGATGTTATATTGTTACATAAGGTTAAGTTGTTCTCATGATCAAGAACTCATCATCTTACTTGCCTTACTCACTTACAACCCTCAGTGCCCCCCCCAACACACAAAAAAATTGCACTACTTTGGTTTTTTTAAGTTTTTTCTCCCCATTTTATTTCTTTTCTGTTCCAGCATTCATTGTTTATGCACCACACCCAGTGCTCCATGCAATATGTGCCCTCCATAATTACCACCACCAGGCTCACCCAACCCCCACCACCATCCCCTCCAAAACCCTCAGTTTGTTTCTCAGAGTCCAGAGTCTCTCATGGTTTGTCTCCCCCTCCAACTTCCCCCAACTCACTTCTCCACTCCATCTCCCCATGTCCTCTGTGTTATTCCTTAGGCTCCACAAGTAAGTGAAACCATATGATAATTGACTCTCTCTGCTTAACTTATTTCACTCAGCATAATCTCCTCCAGTCCTGTCCATGTTGATATAAAAGTTGGGTATTCATCCTTTCTGATGGAGGCATAATACTCCATTGTATATATGGGCCATATCTTCCTTATCCATTCATCTGTTGAAGGGCATCTTGGCTCTTTCCACAGTTTGGCGACTTTGGTCATTGCTGCTATGAACATTGGGGTACATATGACCCTTTTCACTACATCAGTATCTTTGGGGTAAATACCCATTTGTACTACTTTGATTTTTATTAATAGTACTAAACTCTTTCTATTTGGTCAAATTCAGGATGAAGTAACTTGAGGGATCTTCATTATCTCTGAATAAAGAATATTGGTCCCATAATAAACATACATCTCACCACAGATGAGATCTTTCTTGTATGTGTATGGACATGTCTTATGTATATGTATTAACATCCATTTATTTATAAAATTGATCTGATTATCCCTCCTTGATAATCTGCTTTTAAAAATCCCATATTGGTTTCCCTCGTAACTTAAGATGATTGTAGAAAAAGCAATTTAACCTATGTAAAACATCATTAGTAAATTGTATATAGTTGGTCTTTGAACAACATGGGTTTGAACTGTGTGGGTCCTCTTAAATGAATTGTTTTTTCAATAAATACATATTTTACTCTGTGATTGAAAAATAAGGTAGAAGTTGCCACGTGACTAAAAGTGAAGGGAAGGTGTTGGAGAGTTGCTGAGAAGGCTGGAACAGCAGGCTGTCACCTGCTTGTGGCACTCCTCATCGTACTACCTGTGCAGAGTTTGGTTCAATGAGATTTTCAACAAAAAGTTGTGAAGGGGCTGTCTCTGGAGAGGGATTCTCAGTGAGGTGCCAAGACCAGTCATTGTCCACAGCTGGCCAAGGACCACAGAATGATAATCTGCTCTCCCCCCACCCCGCTATCCCTAGGGGTCCAGGAAAATACTTGGGGCAGGATATCACCAGGTAGTAATGTGGGCTATAAGGCCCAAGGTAGGAAGGAGAGCCGTCTGAGGTGCTGAAAATTCTCTACAGCAGAGAATTAATATTGCTGGGAGCAGCTTGCCAGAATTTCCCACAAGCAGAAACTGAATTAGAACCATGTGGAGGGACCGGGTGGAGAAAGCAACCTAGAGAGAAGATAACAGTGCTGTGCCTTCCCCTGTTTTCTGCCTTTCCCTGGACTCCGCTTGAAAGGAGGTTGCCCACATTCCTGGGTAGCTTTGCTAACTTTGGGTGGGGATGAGGAGATGTGTGGTGCCTTACTCTACTTCTGTACTATATAGGATTTTCCTTATGATTTTCTTAATAACACTTTATTTTCTCTGTCTTTATTGTGAGAATACAGTGTGCATAATACAACACAAAACATGTTAATTGACTGTTTTTGTATTGGCAAATGTTATGTTCTGGTCAACAACAGGCAATTAGTAATTAAGTTCTGGGGAGTGAAAAGTTATATGTGGATTTTGATTGCATGGGAGGTCAGCGTTGTTCAGGGGTGAGCAGTATGCTATATACTGTAAAAGTTGGTCTGTTCTAAATGCAATGCCATGTTGCTGCTCTGTTCCATTGGTGTTTAAATATGTACTTTTGTGATCACAGTGGTTAATTACATTTCCCTCTTGGATTTAAAATCCGGGGTCAACTACTTTGTCTTCTCCATCTAGGGTTTATTATTGGGCTTTGTGAAGAGCACATAGGAAGCATGTAATAAAGAGTTAAATACTAACAGCAGTTACTGATTATTGCTGTGGTCTGCGTTCTGTAGGAAGCACTTTATAAGCATTATGAAGATCATTTGTTACACCAACTATATGATTAATACCCCCACTTACAGATGAGGATTAAGTAATTTAAGAATTAAGTAACTTCAACAGTTGCACAACAGTTGAATGGTAGAGTTTGGACACAGGATTGAAGCCCTATTCTGGAAAGTATGTTACACATATTGTCTCCATATAAATTAAAAAAAAAAGTTAAATGAACAAATAAAACATCAGGAAAGCATATGAAGTTTTCATATTTCCTAACTTTTTAAAAAAAAATTGATATTTAGTTTTCCACCATGAGATGGGTAGGTAGAATTACCAGTCATAGATACTTTTATCCTTTAGCCTTGCTCTTTCTTACTGGGTCCAGTAAAAGAATTAGAAATTAATTTTACTGAATGAAATGAATCAAATGAAACAATATGTGATATCTCTGCAAATTCTTTGTAAAATTGTTAGATGGAGTTAGAAAATGGACTTGTCAATGACCTGTGAGTGTCATTACTGTATCAAAGGACAGATGGGGTGAGTTGCTCATGCATCTACTTCAGACCTCCCTCAAGAGTCTTTTCTGATGCTGTAGCCGCTATCTAGTTGGTAACAGTATTCATACTATATTTCTAGGCTCCACTGGGCTATGAGATAGGCCAACAGATCTCTGTAATATTAGGGTGATACTTAAGACACCTAATTTACTCCTCTGAATGTGGACCCAGATGTGCTGGTCCATATCTTAAGCCTTCCTTCTTTCTCTCCAAGGCTGGTAGTCCCACATTCAGTTCATGAATGGTAACTGTTTAATGTAAAGTGATAGCAGTAACATAGAGGGAAAAAAACTGATGGAATTGTCGCCAAAGCACATGGAGAAAAGAAAGCAAAAATTTGTCCTCCAGAATAAATGATGGAAAAATTCACTAGCTGAAGTTCCTTCCTCTCAGTATAGCTGTTAAATCTCTAATACCCCTATAACTCAGCCCATCTTTCCAGCATTCCTTAAACATTGAGAAATATTTCTGCTGCATCTAAACACTCTTGTAGACACAAACTGATTATGCTTTTTAATGCTCACCTAGTGGCCTGTCTTTACTGATAAAGTTCATACAGTGCTCAATTTAGCCTTCAAAAAGTCTGTCATCCTCCTTTGTTTTTTGCACAGTGCTCTTCAAATTTCAGAATATCTTAGCATTGCACACATACACCTGCTTTCATTTCCAGTTTAAATAATGGTTATTTTCTCTAGATAGTTCATGGTTGCTTTACTTACACCCCCCTGCTTCATTACCTCAAGATCCCTCATTAGGTACTTCCAACTTTAAGTATTTGTTCCTTTGCAGCAAATAAAATACAGCAATCACTTACTGTGCTGTAGGATTTCTCTGTCCTTGGGTGAGGCATTTGAATTCTGCATTTCAGTATGTATTAAGATTGGAGGGGAGGGGAATTGAAAATAAAATATTGGGTCACGAATACATGAATACATAAAGTATTCAAAATCTTGTGTATATTCATTTTAGCATGCTCCTTTTGATGGAATGGTTATGATAAACATCGGCCATTATATTAATGAGAAAGTTTTTGAGAATGAAGGAAGATGGAAGGTATGTTAGAAAAAAATTTTTCATTTTTTTTCCTTAATAGTTTTTTGATTTAATATTAAGTCTTTTCCCTATTTTCAGGGTTCAGAAAAAGTACGGGATATATCACTTCCAGAGGAACTTGTTTTCACTGTGGATGATAAAATACTAAACAATATAAATCAAGCTAAAGCCCAATTTTTCAAGCAGGTAGATTTTTTAAACTTTTTTTTTCTTAGATACTAATGCTTTTCTTTCAACTACCACATATAAAAATTGGGTCATCATCTGAGCACAACAACATAAAACAATTTATTTATTTTTAAAGATTTATTTATTTAAAGAGAGAGCACAAGCACGGTGGTGGGGCTGGTGGCAGAGGGAGAGGGGGACTGAGAATCTCAAGTAGACTCCCCACTGAGCCCAGACTAATATGGGGCTCAATCTCACGACCCTTCATCATGACTTGGGCTGAAATCAAGAGTCTGATGCTAAACTGACTGGGCCACTCAGGCACCCAAACAACATTAAAACATTTTTTTAAAAAAGATCTTATTTATTTGGCAGAGATACAGTGAGAGAGGCAACACAAGCAGGGGGAGTGGGAGAGGGAGAAGCAGGCTCCCCGCTGAACAGGGAGCCTCACGCAGGGCTCTATCCCAGGACTCTGGGATCATGACCTCAGCTGAAGGCAGATGCTTAACAACTGAGCCACCGAGATGCCCCAACATTTAAACATTTTAAATTGTAGCTTTGATACCTTTAATTTTTTATATGTAATTTTTTTTTTAACATTTTATTTATTTATTTGACAGACAGAGATCACAAGTAGGCAGAGAGGCAGGCAGAGAGAGAGGAGGAAGCAGGCTCTCCACGGAGCAGAGAGCCCTATGCGGGGCTCGATCCCAGGACCCTGGGATCATGACCTGAGCTGAAGGCAGAGGCTTTAACCCACTGAGCCACCCAGGCGCCCCATTATATGTAATGTTTAATGCAGATGATGATTTGGTCGTCTTTGGGGTATTCTTCTTAGCTGATTTTTCACTTTTCCCATTTATTTATTTATTTATTTTATTTATTTATTGTTAGGCATCCGATCTGCAGATTGTGGTATATCCCTTTACATCTTTTGGCAAAAACCTAACCAAGAAGAAGCTGCTTCACCCTGATACATTTATTCAGCTTGCACTTCAGCTGGCCTATTATAGACTTTATGGACGGTGAGAACCCTTCATTTTCCATTTTCAGCATCTTGAAGTCCAAGGGTATATCTTTAGCATAGCTATTCCATCCTTATTCCCCAGTGTTTTTCCTGACTTTTTCCGCAAGCGGCACTGTGTCCTAATTTGGACTTCCATCGTCAGTGTTTTGGAGTTTTGATGTGTGACACTTTCTACAGAGTGTCCACTGTCTTTTAAGAGAGGTTTTACTGTTCTTTGGAATTCAAATCACTTGGTTTCCTTGTAGCCTCAGTTTCCTGATGGGTTTATGATTTTATAGATTATCCAGTTTTGACTAATTTTTAGGATAAGAGAGATGGTGTGTTGTGACTTTCTACATCTTAGGCAGGAGTAGAAGCTCTGTGATCTTGCTTTTTAAATATCCAGTCTCAGAAGTGTCTTTAAATGGGTTTTTAGGTCATTTGCATTTAATATAGTTATCAATAAGTTTGGGTTTAAGTCTACCATATTGCTCTTTCTTTTCTTTTTATCATATCCGATTTTTTTTTCCGATTTTTGTTTATCTTATTTTGAATTCATAGTGTTTTTAAAAAATTGCTCCATTTTATCTCCATTGTCAGATATACTCTTTTATTTTGTTTTTAGTAGTTGCACGGGGTCTATAAAATACATCTTTAATTTACCCAAGTTTACCATCAAGTAACATTTTCCACTTGAAGTGTAACATAAGAACCTTAAAACAGAATGCTTCTCCCATTTTTTATGCTGTTGTTGTATATTATACTTCTATAAAGGTAGTAAGCCTCACAATACACTATTACTATTGACATTAAGAAGTGGATTATCTTTTTTTTCTTGTGGTAAATATAAATTAAAAAAACCTTTCCAGGGGCACCTGGGTGGCTCAGTGGATTAAAGCTTCTGCCTTCCGCTCAGGTCATGATCCCAGGGTCCTGGGATGGAGCACCGCATTGGGCTCTCCGCTCCACAGGGAGCCTGCTTCCCTTCCTCTCTCTCTGCCTACTTGTGATCTCTGTCAAATAAATAAATAAAACCTTAAAAAAACAAAACAACCTTTCCAGTTTAGCCATTAATTACATAATGTAGCATTAATTACATTCTCAGTGTTGTGCAAGCATCACAACTGTCTATTTGCAAGATGATTTCATTGCCTCAAAGAGAGACTATAACCATGAAACAGTAATTTCTTATTTCTCCTATTGCCTCAGCCCCTGGTGATCTCTAATCTACTTTCGCTGTCTTTGAACTAGATATATTCTATGAACTAGATATTCTAGATATTTCCTCTAGGTGGAATCATAGGATATTTGTCTTTTTTATCTCTGTTTTATTCAACTTAGGATAATGTTTCCAAGGTTCATCCATATGGTATAATAAGAACTTCATTTTTCTTTATGGCTAAATATTCCACTGTATAGATACACCACATTTTCTTTATCCATTCATCTGTTGATAGACACTTGATTTGTTTCCACCTTTTGGCTATTGCAAATAATGCTGTTGTAAACATTCACATACAAGTATCTGAGTTCCTGTTTTAATTTCTTTTGAGTCTATACCTAGGAGTGGGATTGCTGGATTCTGTGATAATTCTTTTTCACTCTTTGAGCACCTGCCAAACTATTTTCCACCATGGCTATACATTTTACATTCCCACCAGCAGTTTACAAAGGTTCAAATTAGTCCATATCCTTGCCAACACTTATTTTTTTCATTAAAAAAAAATCATAACTATTGGTTTTGATGTAGTATCTCATTGTGGTTTTTATTTGCATTTCCCTATTGACTAATGAGGTGGTTTATCTTTTCATATGTTGGTTGGCCATTTGCATGGCCAGATGTATATATGTATGTATATCTTCTCTGGCAAACTGTCTATAGAAGTCCTTTGTGTTTTTGGTAATTGGGTTGTCATTTTTTTTTAATTGTATGAGTTTTTTATGTATTCTGGATATGAAACCCTTATCAATACATAATTGGCAAGTATTTTTCTCCCACTCTGTGGTTTTTCTTTTCATTCTGTGCATCAAAGGATACCACTATGTTTTTAATTTTGAAGTACAGTTTATCTATTTTGCTTTTAATTGTAGCCTGTACTTTTGTTGTCATATTGAAGGAATCATTGCTAAATCCAGTGTCATGAAGTTTTATTATTATTATTATTATTATTATTATTGTAAGATTTTATTTATTTATTTGACAGAGAGTGATCTGGAGAGCACAAGCAGGGGGAGTGGCAGAGGTAGAGGAAGGAAGCAGGTTTCCAGTGGAGCAGGGAGCCTGATATGGGGCTTAATCCCAGGACCCTGGGATCATGACCTGAGCCAAAGACGTTTAACCATCTGAGCCATTCAGGAACCCACCAGTGTCATAAAGTTTTGCCCTTATATTATCTTCCAGGAGGTTTTTTTTTTTTTTTTTTAAGATTTTATTTATTTATTTGACAGAGAAATCACAA